AAAATATCTAAAGTGTTAAATTTAGATCCTTATTTATTTAAATAAAAATTTAAAATTTTAATTAAGAGTCTAATATATATTCAGGACTTGAGATAAGATTGTGCCATTCCTAGTTGCTTCCTTATTGTGTCTATCTTGTTCTCTCACTTTCTGGGGAGGGAAACTTGAGAAATTGGGAATATCCCAAATCAACGCAAGAACACACTCTTCTAGACCAGTTCTTATCTTGCCTCAGTTAAACCATGTTTCAGGTAGCGTCCAGGTCTCTGGTGAAGATCGGAGAGAAACCCATGAGTCCCAACAGCTTCCTGTTGCCGGCGAGATCGACAGACATGGATCCTGGGATCTGGAGCCGGCTGCCGGAGGAAATCCTCGAGTACATACTCTCCTTTTTGCCTCTCAAAAGCTTCCTGAATTTGAGGTCAACGTGTAAGCACTTCAGGTCTCTGTTGTTCTCACCTTCTTTCATTTCCAAACACTCTTCCTCTTCTCCTTTCTCATCTTTTCTCCTCCTTTCTCATCCTCAATGCCATGGCTGTTTTCCAATCTATGATTCGGTTCTCAGCTCTTGGAGGAATTTCCCTCTTTCGTCTTCACCATTGATTCCTCGCTCTGCTCCTTCTACTCTTGTCTCTTCGTCAAATGGGATCTTCTGTTTTTCCCTCCCCTCGTCATATTCTTTCCTTGTGTGCAATCTCTTGGCCAAATCTTCGAGGGTTATTAAATTTCCGTCTTACCCATTTGGATTCGATTTGCTCACTTTGGTTTCCACCCCGTTTGGGTACAAAATCTTCATGATTTGTTCGAAATTCTCTTCGAATGAGGTATTCGTTTATGATTCAAAGGTTCATTCTTGGGGAAAATTCGATGGTTTTCAGCCGATTCTCACTGACAATTACCATCAGGAAGGCGTGTACTTTAATGGGTCTTTGTATTTCACAACACCGGAGCCGTTTTCCATAGTTTCCTTCAATATGGAGAGTGGGAAATGGGAAAGACCCAATGTTGAATTACCAGGGGAGCTAACATTTGTTAGGCTGGTCAGCGGCGATGGGAAGTTGTATTTGGTGGGAGGAATTGGGAGGAATGGTATTTCCAGGAGCATGAAACTGTGGGAATTGGAGGAAGGAGCGAATTGGATGGAAGTGGAGAGACTACCGGAACTTATGTGCAGGAAATTCATGTCCGTCTGTTACCACAACTACGAGCATGCGTATTGCTTTTGGCACCAGGGAATGATCTGCGTTTGCTGCTACACATGGCCGGAAATCCTGTACTACAAGGTCTCGAGGAGGACCTGGCACTGGCTCCCCCGGTGCCCGTCATTGCCGGAGAAATGGAGCTGTGGCTTCAGGTGGTTCTCTTTTGTTCCGGAACTGTATGCTTTGGTTTAAGTTTTCCAGTTTTATTTTTGTTCTGTTTTTGTGCTGTTTCTCAGTTTTCTGTTTTTGATTTTGTATAATAAAGTATGAATTCAGGTTTTCTGCATTTTTCTTTGGCTGGTAAACTTTGGAGGATTCGAAATTCTAAAAGGTTTCAATGGGATTGTGTCGCTGCCCACTATTCTGTTAAAAGTCATTCAGTTTTGCTTAATTTATCTGTGAAAAATAGATGATAATTTATAAAATAATTATAATAAAAGAAAAATTTTACTTATATATAAAATTTT